AGCGCCAGCAGCCATCTCATCCTGTGAATAGAAAAGTACCAAGACCAACTCCAGGATTTTTGAAACCACGTTTGATGCAGGTAATTTAATGTAAGAAATAAACTGGTTACCACAAAATCCTGGCTTTTCATGCAATCTGCATGATTGGCTGTAGCACTGAGCGGACTGATCTCCTAGCCAAATAAAGTCCATTTAACACTCCTCAAAAGCTTCCGCGAACATTTATAAATATACATCCTCTGCTTTGCATGTACCTTTTATATAGTGATATTAATTAAGCAGTTATTCTTCGAATTATAATTAAATCATATATTCAGCCGATGATGGTCCATGTAGCACCGAATTTTATTAGTATAAGATATTACTATAGTACATATAGATAAAAGGGATCACGTGACAAAATAAACCAATCAGATTTGGATAACTTTTAGGCAAAGAAAATACATGATACATAAGCAGACATTGATATAGATTTTTAAATTCTCACCTTATTTCATAATTTTCATGATATTGTTTTAATTATTCCGTATTTTCCTCACTAATATGTTCTGTGATGTGATTTACATTTTGTTTTGACTAAGGGGCCCGTTCATGTGGGCAAAAGTTATCGCTGTTAACAAGAAAACTTTTCGACAAGTTTACACGCGGGATCTTGCCTTGTTATGAAAATAATATGAAAAGTTATATCACTGCGTTCATATGAGACAAAATGTCTTCCCGTGTACCGGATCTTGATTGTTGACAGGCAGTGAATGTTTTGGAGTTTTAAATAAGTTTTAAATTGCCCGTGAATATGTTTGACAGAGTAAATGCCATGAATAACCTCGTTAGCCGCCATGCAGGTTTAATATAAATTCTCACGATAGGAAGAGTATAGTCTCCCTCGCAGCGTTCTTATAGCTCTAACCCTCGCTAACTAACGTCTGCTGAAACGAGCTACACATTCCATTCCCTTCGATCGACCAATCACAGCGAACCTTCTATATTTCGGAAAGTGATTTACGGGCGGAATAAATAGTACATAAATATTTTTATATTTTGAAAGCAGTCGTCGGTTGAATTTTGGTCAAAATTGCACATAAATTGAATTTAAAGACATTGATACTTTCATACTTGTCCAGGAAATAAAATGCGCTATTAGTTATCAGATTCGGATATTAAAGATGTTCGGTTATATTTAAAACGTGGACAGGATGGCATACTCGAGGGCATACTGTATTAATCTAGTGGCGACAGCATCAAATGCAGAATATATTTCGCTGAAATTTGAACTTTTGACAGATATATATCTTTAAGACAACAGAACTCAGAAGACAGAAAATTTGATATAATACTGTGGCTTAGAAAGCGAAATATTAGTTTCAAAGTAAACTAATTTGCTGTTTGAGCAACGACTTCTGACTTTTGAATGTAAACACAACACAAATAAAACCCGATAAACTTTTAATTGCGCCGATATGAATTTCCAGTTCGCCCAAACTTCGAAACTTTTATACATGTAACTTCGCTATACTTTTCTACATGAAACAAAGATTAATCTTTTAGAATTAAAAAATTAAACGAGGCTTACCTGTAAGGTGAAGTTTGATTTGAATTCTACGAGTCATTGGTCAGGAACAAAGAAGTCACGTGAGATAGAGCGCGGGAGATCGGAGCATTCAGTTTTTAAAACCAGCTGTGAATGAACACATAATCATAATTTTTAGGGTGGGATATGCATGTATAGCCTCCACATTCCCTCAAGGATGGGAATGTGACTTCTTTGTTCCTGACCAATGACTCGTAAAATTCAAATTAAGCTTCACCTTAATTTTTTAATTCTACTTCATCATTGGTCAGTTCACAAAGAAGTCACGTGAGACTTTAAAGCAATGTGTCCATGAACAGCTTGACAATGTGTCAAAACACAACACAATTTATTTGTTTACATCTTGATAAGATAACAACAAATGTTCCCCAAAATTAGCGGAATGTTCTATTGGTTTATTATAAAACCTTTGGAATGTGGTTTCACAGGGACCATCAGCTGCTTTCATAATAATATCAATTGGCAGTTTTGTAGAGGATGCTGCAGATGTGGATGCAGAACGAGTGCTGTGTGCACCATAACAACTTGTATCAATACCAGCTTTTTCCATTGCAGTTTTGATCCATCTTGCAATAGTATCTTTGCTTACTGGCTTATGTGGTTTGTTAAAACTAAGCCATAACTCATTATTTCCATCTCTCACCACACTTGTTTTAAGCAAGTATTGCTTGAGGCATGTCACCACGCACAGAAGCTTGTCAACTGGGTATGCTTTAAATACTAGTGGTTTAATATGCTTTCCAGGCTTGGAAGTCTTTAGCAGAGTATTAATTTCAAATGTAATTTGGTTATCCAATTGTTTCATACCACTCAATGTGAATGCATGTACAGTTTGACATCGATAACCAGATAACAAAACAACCAACATAACTGTTTTAAATGTTAAGTCTTTTAGCTTTAACTCCTCAACAGATCTCATTGTTCCTAAGTAGTTCAATACGTCAGAAACGTTCCATGTAGCTTGATATCGAGGAAGAGAGGGCCGAGATTCGAAAACACCTTTCAAAAATCGGGTTACTAAGGGATGACTGCCAAATGATTGGCCTGTGGGAAAAGACCATTTCCTGCTGATGATTCCTTTCCGATAATGAATCTTGAATGAAGATCATCTAGCGTCACCAATGAATGGTTTGTTACATATAGACATAATCCTAAGGAGGAATTGATATTATTGAATGGTGATTATGCACTATATTAGTGGAAAATTATCATTAGATTGACTTGGCAAGTAATCAAGGTGTGTACCACCATTTCCAATATAGGGAATTTTCTGAGCAAGCTTATAGAGCCTATGCTAGCAAAATGATCATTGAACACCTCGGATAACTCATTAGGTTCACTGACTAAGGAACCATTTGTTTTAACTTCCTTGACTTGTGAACTAAATTGCTTCCTTGAAGTAAGTTCGTTTACAATAACCCAAGTCTTTTTCATATTTTGTTTGTTTTGATGGAATGCGTTCTGATAATGAGTTTCTTTAACAAGTTTAATTTCATTTGTTACATAGTTTCGGAACGTCTTAAATGCAGCCCAGTCATTAGGATCTTTTGAACGAATAGCCTTAACTTTTAGAATATCTCTTTTGTGCATATGTTGTTTTAATTCAGGCGTTATCCACGGTGACTTAGAAGATCTGACACGCCTCGTGCGTAAAGGAGCATGCTTTTCAACAACATTATTAAATGTTAAATGTGTTTTTCCAAACCCGCCACATATATCATTTGGATCGTTAAAGTTGTTTACAGCAGTCCAATTCTGTGCACAAATGTCAGACAGAAAACTATCAAGGTCAAAGTTTTTAAATTTTCTATATGTCACGGTAGAATGACCTTTATTGTAGATGCCTGTTGAAAGCTTTCGAAAAGCATAAATTAAGCTATGATCACTAATGCCGACATGTGAAACACCAGAGAAAACAACCTTATCTGGAGCATTAGTAAAAATGTGATCGGTTATAGTCGAAGATGACTCAGTAACACGTGTGGGTTCATTTATCAGCTGATGCATACCATATAAGTCAGCAATGTCGGTTAATGACCTAGAGTTATGGTCCAAAACAGATGCGCCAAGGTCGCAATTTAGATCGCCTAAAAGATAATATTCGACATTTTCTGAATCAAGCCTACCAATAAACGACTCGAAATAAGAAAATTTATCGTTGGTAAAATCAGGCGGCCTGTACCAAGTCGAAACAATGAATGGCTTAGAACTAGGTTTTCGAATTTCAATGCACAAATTTTCTAGTTGATGGCCAGACAGATCCAGGCGAGGCGAGAAATTTATGCTAGAGCGCACATAGAAGCAAACTCCCCCATATGTTTTCCCATTAGCACTACACATAGACCTGTCACGCCGTACGATTTCATAGTCAGAAATGTGTATCTCATTATCGTGTATACTAGCATCAAGCCAAGACTTATTTATAGCTAAAACATCAATCGGGTTAGTGGCAAGCAAAACCCGCAGTTCATCAATGTGGCCAATTAGACTTCTCACATTAAGTGCTGCCATCTTAAACCCCCGCAAATTAGGAAAGACAGGCTTAATACTAGTATCAGGGTTCAGTCAATCAGAAATAATAATAAGACCCTAATAAGTTTTTTTGCAAAGCCGAAGTTCCTTCTTTGTTCAGGTGAAGTCCTTTATAGTTCAAGTGCTGTGCACTGATGTTTGAATTATTTAAAAAGGGTATTTCATTACGTAGACAATACTCCTGAAGTATAATATTAGCTTGCAATGCTTTGAAAGCAAGATCGTCATTATCATTTCTTACCACAATAGCAGAAACACCAATTGTTGTGTTAGGCGAGTCCTCTTTCACTTGAGTAACAAGATTAACAATTGAGTCAGCAATAACTCTCGGCGTACAGCTCCTTAGATCATTCGTCCCCACATGTAGAACCATCTTGTCGGGCGACCTCCTCGACAGTGGTTTGACGAAATCCTCCATGTCTGATATTGTGGCTTCTGGGAATGGTTTCACGATGAAATAATGCTTAGAATCATTACCACTCATTTTTGCACCAACAATATTCTTAACAATAGAATCACCCGCGATGACAACAGTTTTCTTGCGATGTCTCATCGATTCTGGTCTATCTGGACCAACGGTGGCCTCAAAGGCGGCAGAAGTGGCGGTCTCAGGTGTGGCAGAAACAGCGACCTCAGAGGGAGCAGCAGCCACGTCCGTAGAATGATCAGCAGTTAAATCTGGCACATTTGGTTTAGATTGCTTACTCTTCCTCTTTTTACGGCGCTTCTCTTTATTGGCTGACTGGTTGGGTGGTTGATCAGAAGATGGCGGGTTTGCTTGGATGGTTTCGTCGCCTAATCCAGATTAATCTTGGCAACGCTTTTCCAAGTCAGAGTTAGAATCAGCTTGTAACAGTTTAATTAAGAGCAGTAATAAGACTTCTTTTTTCATTTTCAACGTCCTTAATTTTCGTGCGTAAATCGGACATGATATAAGATATGTTCGTATTTCTTTCGCGAAGATCGTTGTTCTCGGTCTTCAGGTTAACGATTTCAGCCTGAAGAGATGCAATACATTGGTCGGGCGGTATTAGTTGTTTGAGGTTCGCAATTTCTGATGTTAACGCGTCAAATTTGGTAGAGGTTGAAATAACAAAACTCTCCATAGTAGCTTTGAACTCGTCAAACGGTGAATTGATTGATTGACCGCTTGAAGTGCTGAAAATTAGGCTGATTGGAGTCAAATGGGGGATTCCAAAAGCAATCAAGCCCTTGCCGGGGTGTCTCTAAAATATATAAAAATGTAGCCCAAAGGTTGTACATATATTATTAAGTAGATCATGCAGGAGGTGTAACTAAATGTATTCATAAGTTTGAATAAGTAAACTATAAGGACTTTAACTGTTTCCAGTTAGGGACACGTCTATAATCAAGTTGCCACACATGACAACAACACATCAAATTGATATTTTTATCTATTCTAAACTGACCCACCTATATATGAATAAATATTAGAAACTTATGAAAGTATCAGTTGATTTGAAGCCAGTCGATAAATTTTCTCAAACCATGTTTAGCTGGGATATGCCTGGGTAGGCATATGAGAATTGAGTAGATGCCAAGCTATATTATTTTATACAAGAAACACTGGAATCTGGCAATCTGTCATATACAATAATACACAAAGGTCAAAGTATACTATTTGGCATTACAATAAACATCATTTGATATAAAGGCTGAGTCAAATGTAAGCTTTTCTATAAAATTAATGTATTTATATCATCGTTTTAATTCAAATATTGTCGCAGCAAATTGAAATTCTAAGCCGGAGCACATGCTCAAAATTCACGAATGAAGATAGTAAATATTTCCTTTCAAAATTGCTTTATTTATATACAAAACATAACAAAATTCTTACCTGGATGTTACCCAGTCATCCCTGATGTTTAGTCTTTAGAATACATATCATTTTTCGCTAAATAAAAGCTCTGTATTTCGAGCGGAAAATTTAAACTCAAAAAATTTAAATTATGGCGGTGTGAATTGTGACGCTATCCCAGAAATCTTTGCGCGTGCTGTAGGAAAACTAGGCACCAGTCTGTCAAACCGCGCTCATCGTGAGAATTTTCGGTAGTGTTTAATTTGTCAAAAAATGGTGTTTTATCCAGTGACAAAATACCTACCTCCATAAAAACTATAAATATTTTTGTAAATTTAATTTCCATGAACTCATGAAAAGTTTAAAATTAGCTCAAACTGGGAAATTTGGGCCAGTGAAATAAATACATTTACCCTTTCTCAATTCTCACAAATTTTTATGAATAGGAAATAAATACCTATTATTTTGCTATTTATTAGCTATTTTTACAATAGCTCTAAAAATATAAGTAAACATAGTTTGCTGTTTAATAACTATTTTGAACAAAGGTCGCCACAACTTTCTATGAACAGGAATTAAATAGCTATTTAAGATCTATTTACAGGGACGCCGGAAAGTCGATAATTGGGGGGGGGGGCAGATATTCATATATTCGTGTTCACAGACTGTAAAAACAATCGCTTTCAAAGGAAATAAATGATGCAGAGCATGAATATATGAATATCTGCCCCTCCCCAATTATCGACTTTCCGGCGTCCCTGTCTATTTATATTGCTATTTAATAACTATTTTAAGAATTGCTCCAAAGAAGAGAAGCAAATATAGTCTCAAAATAGCTATTTAAAACTATTTTAAATAAACTGACTAGTTTTTCATCAATAGGAATTAAATAGCTATTTAAAAGCTATTTTATAGTGACATTCCGTGATCTTCCGTCAATTACTCTTTCAAATAGGATTTGAATACCTATTTCAAAGCTATTTTTTTGAAAAATATAAATAACCTATGTTTTAAATAGAGTGTAAATAGTCACATACTATTTTATGAAATTTGATAAATAGTAATAAAATAGTCATATTTTTGAAAAAATATAGAAAAAATAGGGCTAAATAGAGAAGAAATAGGTCTAAATTAAGTTATAAATATGTTGGATTCTACAAGGGAGAGCACGAGCAATTAACATGCCAGTGCATTTTTTAAGGATTCTTCAGTGGTGAGGCAAAACTTCCAAAGGACCCATTTTCCTTGCCCTCCCCCAGCATAGTATGCAATCGCCGAAGGTGTGAGCGGAGTATCGCAGGCACGAGTTAGCTAGGGGGTTGAAGCTGGGGGCATGTCCCTCTCCCAGGAAATTTTTAAAATTTGGTTCTCTGAAATAGCATTTCCTGCATTCTGAGAGCACATTTAAAAAAATCTCAGCTTCTCAAAACAAAGTTTTAATGGTGAAATGTGTAATAAATTGCTCACTAAACATTCAAACATGACATAAGTTTAAGTATGCCCACCAACAAATTTTGTTTTTTAAACTTCTTTTCAATGTTAAACTCATTTACTCAATACAGGTCCTAGCAGGGCCTTTTTAAGGATTTTCCCCGTTGGGAGGGGGGGGGGCATTTTTTGAAAAGGGACCTTCTTGTGAGATAATATATTAGAGGGGGATAGGTAATGGCTGAAGGCCACGAAGAAGGGCATTCTCTGCCAGAACATTTTTGAAATTTCAAACCCGGAAATGCCATTTCCTGCATTCTGAGCATTCCAAATTTGCTCCAAAATTTATGCTAACTGTACTTGTATTTGAAATAAAAGAAGGAAAAACGCACCAAAATTATAATAATTATTAGTTACAATAATTTATCATCACTTAGTGGTAGAAATAAAATCGATTTTGTTAAACAAGGACTAAGGATAAAGCCTAAAATTTGCTTTCCGTTTATCTATTTATGATTCTTCGCCACAGAATAAAGATCAGTAACAACAGAAGGGCCACTCAGCGGTGTAACGTGTCCACGTTTTTTTATGCAAAAATATGCATTTACTGGCCAGAAGGTGGAGCAGCCAGCCAGTACAGCGTGTTTATTGGCCACAAATGTCATTGACTGGCTAGGAAAATGGCGGCCAATATTCGTAATGCGACATGCGCGAGGACAGAAACTTCAAAGCTTCCGACGTAAGTGGCCCTTCTATATGGATCTTTATTCTATGTCTTTGCTGCATGGTTTGTTTGTATAAATTTAGGAAAAAGGGACTTTTCCTGGGGCAAAATGTGATTTCGTGGGCGGACATAAGGGGGACTTGGGGGGGGCATTTGACCCCCAGCTTGTATGTTAAAAAAGGCCCTGGGTCCTAGGGCCCAAGCTTTGGGGCAATAGGCCATTTTTTTTCTTCAGTGTTGGGGCAGAGGAAGGGGCCCAATGAGCAAGTACTCCACCAGTCCATGGTATTAAAAAATGCCTTGTAACATGCATTTCTTCAATCTGAGTTAAATTTTGCAATTCCTACGGCACAGATGAAGGTACAGTGTATCATTGAGTTTTGAGATGAAAATTTTTAAAAATCGTGAACATACGTTTGTCATGCCTCTTGACATAATGTACACTGACTGACAATATATTTCACAGACTTATGAACCTTGTTCATATTAGAATTTACCCAACATTGCCCTTCAATACCACCATTAGCGATGTCAAACATATCAGTTTAAATTATCGTGTTGCTTCATTTCATTGTGGTGCATGCTGTGACACTCTTTTTGCATGCACGCCTTTGTTTTGGATAAAGTCTACTTTTTTCTGGT